TTCATCGGAATCTCCCACTGCTGGGAGGCTCGGGAGCATCCTGACCCTTTCGGCTATCAGCCGCTCGAACTTTCAAGCACCCTTTCTGGTCGGTCGGGGTGCTTTCTAAATCAATTTAATTTTATTGCATGGACCGCCAGAAAGCTGCGAACTATTTGACTTTTATCCACCCTTGAAGCGTTCGAAAGCTTCGAAATCCTTTCAAGTCCAGACAATCCAAGGCTCAAAACCATAGTAGGCGCATGGCACTACTGGCAAGAGGTCGACCCTGAAGTGTACCGAGATGACAACACCTACTTCTTTATTGATTACATGAGCTTGCCACAGTTCAAGAGAAGTGCAGAAGAGCATACGTGCTTCCAGTGCGCAATGAGGCACATGCACCTTTTTTACGCCACTTGGAAAGCCAACTCCATCTTTTTCTAAGTTCACTATAGTCGGTCCTCTTTGGTTTTAGGTTTTTAAGCCGTTGAGGCGAACAGTGGTGCAATTTTTTGCAAGAGCGTGTGGCGCTTGGAGAAGCTAACGCCTCCAGGTGTGAAGAGACTGCATCCTGGAAAGACCATAGGCAAACTGTGCCTTTTCACATATTTGTATAGATGATTTAGCTCTAGCTGAACCTTTAAAAGTCTTTAAATTAACAAACACTCCCCTAGCATTCCAAGACCATTAAAAGAACGATTGACCTAGTTTTATAGTCTAAAACCTCGAAAACCACGTATATACCTACTAAATTCAATGGTGGTTGGAATCCTAGAGACTCAAATTTTTGTCGCTTGCCCATCGGTTTCCTCAGGCAGATCCTCCGAGGGCGGACAATTCCGGTCTACATCCTGGCAGAAGGGAAGGTGGTCGAAGTCTCCCTCAAGCGCTTGAAGCGCAGCATTGGTGGCAAATGCAGCTCCTCTTGCGACGACAACTGTCGCAATTTGCACGCTAATGACATCGTTTACCTCGGCCGCGGCTGGTGCAGGGCCGAGTACGAATGGGCCAAGCCCTACACCATCAACATTTCGCGGCGGGGCGTGTGCCTGTGCCTGCGCCACTGCTGGGCCCAGTATGACTCGATGTTTCACAGGTTCTCGCTGCCCTGGACGCCTGAGGCGTTCCAGAGAAGTGTAGCCACCCACGCCTTGAAGTTCACTCACCGCGGTGACATCGACCCGGTGCTCGAATTGCAACGCACGGTGTTTCAGCAGAAAGTGGCATCGGTGAAGAATTTCGAATGCAACTGGCTTCCGTGCCACGAAGTCGAAGACTTGGTGGAGCTTGTGGGCCTCCTGCAGGCGGTGCAGAACTTCCAGCTAGTCGCCGCCCATGTCGCAAAGTTCCAGCAGCTCGCCTTGGCGACCGCCTTGGGGACTCGCCAAACACTGCAGACGGTGCGGATCTTCTCCGTCCAGCTGAGCCCCGATGCGGTGCAAGTCCTGGCCGCGGTGCCGCGGCTCCACACGCTGTGGCTGAACGCCTGCGGCCTGGGCGACGCCGGCGCCGGCGCCGTGGCGAACGCCCTGGCGCAGCATTCGGCGCTCCGAGAGGTGGAGCTGCGATTCAACAGCATTGGCAGCCGTGGCGCGACGGCCTTGGCGAAGGCCTTGGTGACCAACAACGTCTTGGAGAAGCTCGACTTGCAGTTCAACAGGATCCGCTCTCGCGGCGCAGTGGCTTTGGCCGAGGCCTTGCGAAGCAACAACAGCTTGAGACACTTGGAGATGCAAGGCAATCCGTTTGGTGCCCAGGGCGTCCAAGCTCTGAGGAGACTTGCAGAGAGGATCGAGGTGGACCATGAAGGGCTGAAGAGAAATGCAGACGCTTCCTGGTGCGGATGGATGTGCTGCATCCTGACGCGGGTCTTCTGGTGGATCATTTTGACCATGATGTTCCTTCCAATGAGATTCTTCACATTGCGGCAGAGGGCCATCGCTTGCATCAGCGCCCGGGGGAAACCCTCCAACCTGAGAAGATAAAAAAAAACCAGTGGATGTGGAAGAACCTGATGCCAGTAGCTGGGAGATGGTGCCTTTTCCCAAATGAATGAATTCAGATTCACTTATACAGTTTCATCTAATTAATCATGCAGTGCAGCAACCTGGCCGCATCGCTAGCCCCCTTTGTGCGAAAAAAATAATCCAATTAAGATGCAGCCGCAGCACCGTTTTGTGGGCCACGCCCAGCAAAAACCTGCGGGTCGTTTTGTGATCCATGGTGGCAGAGAAAGATCAGTTCGGCCGTTGACCTCAAGTTACTTCAGAAAGACTTTGGAAGTAGGACTCAATCAGATCGGGTCCGGATCAGATCCGGATCCCGATCCCTTGGTTAGTCACTTCTTTTGTTCAGATCGCCCCGAAAGACTTGGAGATATTATTTTGACAGTTCTTGGATGGGAGATTGGCATCAACCTGCATGATGGAAGCCCCAAATTGAACAGCCTGGCCTCAGCGGCCTCAACTCCAATTTGAAGAGAAACACTATAGGGATCTATAGGGAAAACTGACCTATTTCCAGTTGTGTGAGTCAAGTCGTTCTTGTGAAGTTTCATCGAGCATGTTATCTCATTTTCGACCAAAGCCCACCTCCTTCCGCAACGCCATTTCTTCATTTCGGACATGCTCCCATGCGTTTCGGTGTGGCCTGCCAATGGCTCCCGAGCCAGCATTGATGAAAGACTGGGAGTGTGACGCTCCTGTTAGTAGACGTCTGCAATATGAAACTTTATAGTGAAGAAGCACCGTACCAACCGGGAGAACCAGCTGATGGCCCGCAGTCGTTCCAAAAGTTCCAAAACAACGGAACCAGCTGATGGCCCTCCTCCCCCCATTTTTCCGGTCCGATTCTGAAGCCATCCAAGTGCAGGTCCGTCCGACGGCGGCACGTGCATGCGATGCCGGCTCCGGCGGCTTCGGTGGGCGGCGGCTCCGGCGATGCGGAGCTCTTCGGCTGCAGAATCGGAGCTCGGCTGCGGTGCTGGAAAGGTTTTTGAGGATTGGAGGAGCATGGAAGGTGTGTTTGGTTTTTGTTTAATTGCTTGTTTGTTTGGTTTGGTTTGGTTTGGTTTAGTGTGGTTTCGTTTGTTTCTTTTTTGCACTTGCTGATGATTGTGGCCCGGTTTGTTTGGAGCGGCTGCTTGAAGACACACCGTGTGGTTTGGGTGAGGGGTTGACCCAAGCGGTAGCGCGCCTTGCCCCACACGGCGCCAGGGGATTTTTGTGGGTTTGGAGGACCATGGAGGTGTGTTTTGTTTATCATACCTGTTTGCACTGCATGATGCCGCCCGGTCGACCGGACCATCTCCGAGACCGGTCCCAACCGACCCTTTGGCCCACTCGGCTCACTCGGCTCACTTGGCTCACTCAACTGGGTGAATAGATGCAGACTGCGTCATGCACTGGAGATAGGTATTGGAGATCTTTTGGCCATTTTTTGTGGGGGGTACGAGATGGAGTCGCAACTGGAGTGACCTTTTGCACAAAGGTTTTCACATCGGTGTTCTAATCTTTGTAGAGACTTTATCACCGACCAAGAAACTGGCAGTGGCGGCAACATACAGCTGATACATGCTGATACTATATAGCTAATACTGATACTGTTGTGCAAACCATTCTCAAGCTTCAATAATTTCATGTCTGAGTCATATCAGAGCTGAAAGGAAGTCTGCAATGGCCTGTGTGGGAGACTAATGTCTTTACCGCTCATGGTCGACCAGTGAGCCAGAACATCTAACCTCCGGGAATCCACTTGGTGCAAATGCGGCTCATGCGTTCCAATATTTCCCACAACTCGACTCGATGTTTTTGGAATCGGGGTTTGGAAGCACTGTTGTTACAACGCTCCTCAGGAGACGCCTGTGGCGTCACACTGAGCCAAAACAACATGCTCCTTGGAGCGATTTCTAGGCCAACGTGGCGAACACCGTGGCCTTCTGTGATGATCCTGTTTTTTGGTTGAAACGGGAAAGGTATGGAAAGGTGTAATTGTTGTCACCACTGTCTTCAGGGACTCTTCCGATCGTTTTGGCAAAGAATAGAAGGACTTGAAGGGAACAAATTGGCATACCCCATCAACATGGTGGGGATGGCGCATGATGGCATGATGCTTCCTTTTTGGGGGGGTGGAGCTTCGGGAAGCTTCAGGCTGACCCAAACAATGGCTGGTTGGAATGCTTGACACACCTTCTTCCAGTCGCTGGAATGGTGAGATGGAATCACCAGGCCACCCTGAACATCCCTGAACCACATCTCCAAACAACTGCGCAGCCAAACCGCCCACCAAACCGACCAACTCGCCGACCAAGCCACAGAACATAGCTGGCAGCCCCCCCCGCACCGCCCCGGGGCGACACCGGACACAGACACACTATGACACGACAGACGGTGAGGACGGCATGGGTGAACCCTACGTTTTCCCCAATCTACTTGCCAATGTCTTTAGGATGCTTTTAGAGCACATTTCCCTACATTCAGGGGTCTACTTGCAAAGCATTCAGGGGTCTGCCAATGTTCATGGCCATGTTCATTCCTCAGGTTCCGTACTTCCCCGCTCCAAAGGTCTGGTGGAGCACATGCTACGTAGAGCCTCGAGCTGGTGGACCGCGCTTAGAAGGAGGGTTTTTTTGGGAACTCTTCACCTACACCGGACCATCCCTGAACTGACCCTTTTTGGAAGAGTGGACTGGACTCGTGGCCTTTGCTTGATTTCAACTGTCTTTGGGGTGTGACACCTGTGACTGTTTGATTTCCTCGACGTGCTTCACTGTCTTTGATAGGCGGTTCAAGCGCAGCACGTTTTTGGCTTTGTCAACTTGGATTATAGACTACGCCAAACACGGCGAAGTGGAGTTTTATAACGTATGATTTTTGCACTGCAGTGACTAGAAGGAATAATGTGCCTCAGTATGCCTCTAGGATTGCTGATGATTGTGGCCCGGCTGCTTGAAGACACACCGTGTGGTTTGGGTGGGGGGATGAGCATGAGTACTCGTCGTCAGCCATGTGGTTGGGGTCATGTTCGTTGGGAGACTCCGGCTCTTTGGGGAGTTTGTTTTTGGCTTCTTGCGTATAGGGTTTGGTCAGAGTTCTCTATGCCACGAAGAGCCTTCTGGAGACATAGAGTCCGGTCCCCAATAGTCCTCAAGCCACCGAGAGATAGACCGAAACACGCCGGTGCATCCACTCAACCGCCGAGTGTCTTTGCTTGAGATATGTGCAACATGCCTCTTAAAGTCTTACCCCGTCCGGGGGGGGGGACCCGGAAGACCACGAATGGCGACGCCGGAGCTCCGTCGGAGGTGTTCCGTCAGCGACCCCAGGTGGTGTGATAAATGCCTTGCTTGCTCAAGGCTTGCTCCGGATGTTTTTTCAAAAGCAGAACCTGGGGCGTTTCAGGATCCCAAAACGTTCATCTGAAGCATGTTTTGGATGACACTGCAGAACCTGTTTCCCGCACAAGATGTCGGATGTTGCGGCCCCCAGATCCTCCCTGAGCCCAGCAGCTCGAGCCCAGGAATCCACGATTGACCAACCTGGGTTTCGGTTTCACCCCGTTTTCCGCGTGTTCCAACATGTTCCAAAATCCTCCCAAATCCATATCTCAACATGATTCTTCACAGGCCGCAGGCAATATAGCTGCACATTGCACTGCAGCATCCCACAAATTCCGAATTTGCCTCGCTTCACGCGTCAAGTTGGACCGTTTTTGAGGACGAAGCGACCCGAGCGTTTGGACGGCACCGGCCACGTCTGAGGACGGAGAGTGGGCGGAGTGGGCGGAGTGGGCGGAGTGGGCGGTTGCCACGGCCGAAGATGGGAGGCACCAGGTGAATCAGGAAGGTATACCCTAGAAGTCCAAAGACTATATTTTGACCGGCTGCAGTAAAGGAAGTTCCCTTTTAGGTCCCCTAAAGACCATTCTTTTTATAGTCTTTGACTCCCAGGGTATAAGTAGATGTAAATCGTCTCATAGCTTCGGAATTGAGTTTCTTTTCAGGTTTGGGCGTGCTTTGCATAGAGGGAGTTCTTATACGGTGTTCTTTAGGGTGCCACGAAGAAATGGGAGGCACCAGGTGAATCAGGAAGGTATAAGTAGATGATGTAGATGTAAATACGTCTCATAGCTTCGGAATTGAGTTCCTTTTCAAAGTGGGTTTGGGCGTGCTTTGCATATGAGAGGGAGTTCTTATCAGGTAATTAGGGTGTTGCTCCACAAATTTGAGCACATTTGTAATGCATGTTCTATCATGCTGTGAGGTTTTGCATGGTTTTGGCATCCAGCATTCCATTTTTTGGATGCCGAATGATGAACAAGAACTGTGCTTCTGAAGGAGCTCTCATTGAGTTTGGGAGGGCCAAGCTGCCTGACCAGATCGACTGATTTTCCCACTGAGCTGCACGGCTCGCAACAGCGTTTTGGCTCGGCTTACTTTGGGGGGGGTCGGAAGTCCGAGGAACATTCGATGAAATCAGTTCTTTCCACATTTGATATTTAATGATGTTTATCAAGTTTGAGATTTGTTATGTACTTGTTGATTGTTCTTTGTAAAACATCAAATGTCTAAAGGTGAATTTCAATCAATGCTTCGAACTTTCTGGAACATCGTCGGAAGGTCCGTTCTGGAAGTGGACGACCTGCACCGGTCGGTTTTCTTGCCACTTCCGAACTCTTTGTCTCAGATGTGGTGTTTTTACTTCCCAGAATATTTTTGGATCGGTGTTCCCCACGAAATGTTCCACAAGCGGGACAGTATGTGCATGAATTCCTTTGTCAACTTGTTCATAGACTTTTAGTTTGTATAGTTTGTTTCTTCTCTTTTCCTTTTCTTCAGCCCAAGCTCAGGTGATAATCACGACAACGGAAGCCAGGCGGGGTAACGGAGGAAGGAACAAAGGCCCACAGCTTTCCCGCGATGAAAGCCCACTTAGGATATCTTAGAGCACCTAAATAAATGATTAATATTCACAGTTTGATTTCACAGTAGACTCGGACCTGGACGCTGTGTCGGCTGGGCTTTCCTGCGCCGCTGCGGCATGTCAGAGGACTTGAAAGTGGTCTCTTGGACCCTCGGATAGGAGGCTTGCTGAGGTTTTGTTAGGTCCAGTCACCCCCAGTACCTCAGTCAGTGTCCTTCATGTGTTTCTCTCGTTGGACCATGTGTATAGTTACTTTGTTTGGGGGAAAGAAACTGACTGATTCACGACACTCACCGTGTGAGAACGGCTGGGTGTGTGAGAGCTCGGCGACCAACCGCGGGAACGGACTGCGGAAAGCGCGAAGCGCGGGGCGTCGTTGTTTCTTCGTTGAGAAAGATCGATCTCCAAGACACTGACTAAATAGTTGGTTATGATAGTTGGTGTTTCTGTGAAGGAAGGCTGACTAGCCACTAAATAGTTGGTTATAAGTTTTAACGGAATGTCACCCTCTTTGTGGTTGCAGGCCAACCTTAAACCACAAATCAAGAGGAACTAACAAATCCATAAGGCAAGTTCGCATGCCCTCCGCGCCCTTAACCTCGGCCTCTGTCAGGAGGCGCTGCCGGGCAGCCTGCTGCTTCTTCGTGGCGGACGCGACCTCTCTGAGTGGAGGGCAGCTTGGCGACTGAGTTTTGTTTGAGAGTTCTGGATGAGAAGAGCCGTCATGCATGTGCATTGAATCTGACTGGCAATTAGTGTTGTTAACGGATCTAGGATTAGGATTGATCAAACACTCAGAAGAAAAGTGGTGGAACAGAAGCTATCCGGTCCCCTCTCCGATGTTGTCTGTGTGTTGGAGAGATGGACGAGACACCACAAGTGAAGTGCCTGTGGAGTAGGTTGATTTGGGAAGACCTGTGATTTGCGGCCTTTGTTGCCACCAAATCATTTTAATTTGCCCTTGTACAAATTTATAAGGCCTATCCTATTGTTTAATTTCTGATATTTTCTGACGTGGGCGAATATTGTCAGGTGACGTAACTTGACAGGGAAACGGTTCTTTTGCGCAGGAGCTTGGTTACTCACAGTCGGTGTTTTCCAAACTCAAGGTCGGCACACAACTGGAAATAGCTGGCTTAACTGAACGACTTGTTTCTTCAAAGCAAGAATTGGGAAGTCCTCATCTTGTCAAGCACCTCAGCTCCGATTCCGATTCTGAAACACAGCTCAGCCGTATTACTTTCCCCTTCCACACAGGTTTGTCACATGCTTTTTTGCCCCCCCGCACTTGAGAGAATGGGACGAGTCTGTTTCATGGCTTCGGAGAGTTTGCTCAAGGTTTATGGGCAGAGAGTCTTGACTTTTTGTGGGATGCAGCGGCTTGCAGCGTCCTTTCGAGAAGCAGCTGAGGGTGTTTTCGTAGTGAGGGTGGCATACCTATCATAACATTTAGTATGAAGAACGTTGTTTGTACCCTCGTCATGGGTACGAGTTCTTTCTTCAACCGTCGTTTGTCATCTTTCTTTGCCGCCTTTGATCCAGCCAGGAACAGCGCAAACATCCTTCAGACCACAAGCTCTTACCCATCTCCAGCTACTTCTCTATGGACATCCAACCCACAGTCCCCACAGCTGAGAGTGAGGACATCAAAGACACTATATCCCATATATGGGTTCATCCATCCCATATGGGCTCCTCATCTAGTCTAGTCCAGTCTCGTCCGACTCAGACCTCCCAAAAACCACCCAGACTCACCTCACCTACCTCACCAAGGATGCAGTTTATCCAGTCTCATCCAGTCTCACCCAGACTCACCCAGACTCCGGACTTCACGGCCTTCGCCCAGTCGGAGCGCCGCCGCCGCGGCCGCCGCTACGGGCGGCTCCGAGCGGTCGAGGCAGGGGAGACCCGGGCGGAGGCGGTGCCGAAGTGGCTCGTCGCATCTGCAGACTGGGGTGGCTTTGCTGGGCCAAGGGGTCAAAGAACGAGGTCCAAAATTGTAGCATCAGGGAACATCAAGGGAAGATATTAATGTTAATCAGTGACTTTGGAAGAGCACCTGCAGAAGCTGGGGGTGGCTCAAGTAGATGAAGTGTAGCTATAGTAAAGCAATTTCTTTGAGCCAGTCGGAGGGAAAAGGGTGGGAACCCTGTTTGTGGGATGTCACCACGGCTGATTGAAGAGCGAAGTTGAGATTCGTTGATGATATCCTGTATCATCAGGTTGGTAGCTGCTCGAACCCCAAGATGCATATGAACGAGTCACAAGGAACAACCAGTTCGTGTCCGTGGTTTTTACTGGAAAACTCATGATCAGCATGAACTTCGAACGCATGCCCCAATCCAGAAGGCTCCAGTTTCTCAAGCCCAAACGGCTTTCAAAGGTGGCTTGACCCCGATCCAGAAGAATCAACATTCACTAGTTTGTGCACAGCCTGCAAAGCACATCAAAGCACTAACAATCTTAAATCAATATACTAGCTACTAAAAAAGCAAGCTCGCATCGGCCAACACATTAGCTCAACACATTGCACGATGCACGTATAACAGCAAGCAGCTGCGAGCTGCCATGGACGAAGTACGTCCCTGCACGATTGGCAAAGCATCAGAGGAAGGTGAGGAAGGGCCGGCGCAGCAGGAAGAGTCTGTGGACAGCTCGGAAGAATACGAGCTGAATTCCTTCGAAGAGCCTCAGAGACAAGGGAGTTTGGCATTTTAGGGACAAGGAAAGGTTAAAGTTGAAGTGGAAAAATCCAGGACCTTCAAAGTGACCGAACTTGATATCCCAGGATGAGGTCATCTTAGGCCCGTAAAAGGTAACTTAGAGACTCCAAAGAGGTCAAAATTGAAGGAAGACACATGTGATGACTTCTACTAAGTGCTGTTGAATGCAAGACGTGACATCCAGCAATGACGATGCCTCCATCTTCCATTCGGAAAACAATCCGAGGCCTTCCGAAGGTACTGCATCAACGCCAACATTGCGTTGGTGAGACCAGAGTTCCTGGAACATCTTTGCCAAGAGGGGCGGGTCTGGCCTCGGAGACAGGAGGCCGAGCAAATCCCAGGAGATGGTTGGCCAAACAGGTTCAGGTTGGCGCACACGTCACTCGTAGAGCTTATGCATCCTCCGTTTTGATTTCAAGTTGAGGGACGTTCCAGATATGTTGCTTTGATATTTATGACAGCCTTCTTCCGCCATGGATCTAATGCATGTTTGACAAGCTGGATTTGGCATCAAGTTTCTCCTCTGTAGAATTCCGTAAAGCCAGCACATGTGGAACAGGAGCTTTGTACAAGCCTGGGCCCGATGATGAGTTCTCCTTCATCGGCATCTCTCACTGCTGGGAGTCTAGGGAGCATCCTGACCCTTTCGGCTATCAGCCGCTCGAACGTTCGAAATACACGGTATTGTTGAGATGGTTTGTATTTCTTTGGTCGTGATGGTAGAGTGATGGGAACTATTAGATATTTATCCACCCTTGAAGTGTTCCAAAGGGTTGAAATCCTTGAAATCCTTTCAAGTCGGACCAGTCCGAGGCTCAAAACCATAGTGGACGCGTGGCACTACTGGAGAGAGGCCGATCCCGAGACGTACAGAGATGCCAACAACACCTACTTCTTCATTGATTACATGAGCTTGCCACAGTTTAAAAGAAGTGCAGAAGAGCAGACGTGCTTCCAGCGCGCGATGAAAAATATGCACATGTTCTATGCCTCTTGGAACGCCAACTTCACGTTTTTGGAGTTTTCTTGGATTCACCCTATAGCCCGTCTTCTCTGGCTTTTGGGTTTTGAAGCTTGGAATTCACCTCACTATGTTCCGTCCTCTCTGGTTTTAGGATTTCTCCTTCCAATCCTGAAATTTTTCCAGCCAGGAAAATGAAGGAATCTAGTGAGAAAAGCATGAGGCCACTGGGACGCCATTTGCATGTGTTTGAAGCCGTTGAGGCGAACAGTAGCGCCTTTTTTTGCAAGAGCGTGTGGCGCTTGGAAGACTTGACGCCTGCAGGTGTGAAGAGACAGCACCCCGGTGCAAACTGTGCCCTTTTCACATATTTTTCTGATGTTGCATCATCGATGTTCCTATCGCTCCTCTATTACTCAAACCCTTTTTGCCATTCATTCTCATCTTCAAAATCTGACCCCTAGCTTTCCAATGCGTTCCAAGACCGTTGAGAGACAGGTTGACCTGGTTTTGTAGTCTTTAAAGCAATTTATATAAAGTAAATTGTTTGATACAACCCATCAAAACAGTGGCTATAGTACCCATTAATCAATGGTGGTTGGAATCCTAGAGACTCAATGTTTTTGTCGCTCATCCTTCGGATTCTCCAGGCAGATCCGCAGCGGGCGGACCATTCCGGTCTACATCCTGGCTGAAGGGAAGGTGGTCGAAGTCCCCCTCAAGCGCTTGAAGCGCAGCATTGGTGGCAAATGCAGCTCGTCTTGCGACGAAAACTGTCGCAATTTGCACGCTAATGACATCGTTTACCTCGGCCGGGGCTGGTGCAGGGCCGAATTTGAATGGGCCAAGCCCTACACCGTCGACATTTCGCGGCGGGGCGTGTGCCTGCGCCGCTGCTCGGCCGAGTATGACGCGCTTTTTCACCGGCTCTCGCTGCCCTGGACGCCTGAGGCGTTCCAGAGAAGTGTAGCCACCCGCGCCCTGAAATTCACTCACCGCGGTGACATCGACCCGGTGCTCGAATTGCAACGCACGGTGTTCCAGCAGAAAGTGGCGACTCTGGAGAATTTCAGATGCGCTTGGCTTCCGTGCCACGAAGTCCACGACTTGGTGGAGCTTGTGCCGCTCCTGCAGGCGGTGCAATTCTTCCAGCTAGTCGCCGCCCATGTCGCCGACTCCCAGCAGATGGCTCTGGCGACCGCCTTGGGGACTCGCCAAACACTGCAGACGGTGGCGATCAACTGCATCCAGCTGAGCCCCGGCGCGGCGCAAGTCCTGGCGGCGGTGCCACGGCTCCACACGCTGGGGCTGATCGACTGCGGCCTGGGCGACGCCGGCGCCGGCGCCGTGGCGAACGCCCTGGCGCAGCACCCGACGCTCCGAGAGGTGCAGCTGCAAATCAACGCCATCGGCAGTCGCGGCGCGACGGCCTTGGCGAAGGCCTTGGTGACCAACAACGTCTTGGAGAAGCTCAACTTGCAGTACAACAAGATCCGCTCGCGCGGCGCAGTGGCTTTGGCCGAGGCTTTGCGAAGCAACGACACCCTGAGATGCTTGATGTTTCGATTCAACCCGATCGGCGCCCAGGGCGTCCGAGCTCTGAGACGTATTGCAGAGAGGATCGCGGTGGCCCACGAAGGGTTGGAGAGAAATGCAGACGCTTCCTGGTGCGGATGGATGTGCTGCATCCTGATTCGGGTCTTCTGGTGGATCTGCTTCATCATGATTGTCCTTCCAATGAGATGCTTCAGTTGGCGGCAGAGGGCCATCGCCTGCATCAGCGCCCGGGGGAAACCTGCCCAACCTGAGAAGATGAAAAAGCCAGTGGACGTGGAAGAACCTGATGCCATTAGCTGCAGAGTGGAGCCCAAATCACCAAATGAAGCTGAGGAGATTAGAGAATGCAGGCTTGCGCTTTGACAGATGGTTTGAGGAGATGATGCTTTTTCCCAAATGAATGAATTCAGATTCACCCATAGTTTCATCTAATTAATCGACAACCTGGCCGCATCCTGGCACCCTTTGTGCGAAAAGATACATTCAAGATGCAGCCGCAGCACCGTTTTGTGGGCCACGCCCAGCAAAAACCTGCGGGTGGGATATGTGGTGGCCCAGAAAGATCAGTTCGGCCGTTGACCTCAACTTTTGAAGGACTTGAAGTAGGACTCAGTCAGATTTGGGCCTATAAGGATCCGGATCCATCCGACTCGTTTTGTTCAGATTACCCGGAGTTGGAGTCCTTGGAATAAATTTGTTCATGATTTTGTTTCATTTTTGTTTCATCTTGGATGGGAGGTTGACCTGCATCAACCTGCATGATGGAAGCCCGCCGCTCCCATTGAACGGCCTCAACTCCAATTTGAAGAGAACACTATAGGGACACCTGGTGTGATCCAAGTCGTTCTGAAGATTCATCATGTCAAGTTCTCGACCAAAGTCCCCCTCCTTCCGCAACGCCAGTTCTTGATGTCGGACATGTTCCCATGCGTTTCGGTGTGGCCTGCCAATGGCTCCCGAGCCGGCATGGACGGAGACTTGGCAGTCGTAGACCCTCTTATGAAACTTTTGGGTATGGTGAAGAAGCACCATAATCAGCCGGAAGAACGACCAGTTGAGAAGCACGGGGCCTTCCTTCGAAGACCCACCTCAAAATCGGCGTTCCGAGTGTCGCACGGGAGCCCAAGCCCAGCCCTCGCCCACCTAGCTCCCCATCCCTCTGGGGTCCCACCGAAGCCATCGCCCAGTGCAGGTCCGTCCGGCGGCCTTGGACGGCCATCCGTGGCATCGGCAGTTTGGCGGGCGGCCTGGCTCCGCAGCGATCCCGGAGCTCTTTGGCTGCAGAACCGGAGCTCGGCTGCGGTGCGGTGGGCTGGTCGGGGCAGTTTTTGGAGGATTGGAGGAGCATGGAAGGTGTGTTTGGTTTTTGTTGAATTGGGTTGGTTTGGCGTGGTTTAGTTTGGTTTTGTTTGTGTTTGATTTTGCACTGGAACGACTAGAAGGAATAATATGCCTCTAAGATCCTCTAAGTATGCCTCTAGGATTGCCGATGGTGGCCCGGATTGCTTGGAGGGACTGCTTGAAGACACTCCGTGTGGTTTGGGGGTGCATATGAGTAATCATTCGTCATCAGCCCATCTGGTTGGAATCATGTTCGTTCGGAGACTCCGGCTGTTTTGGGAGCGATTTGTTTTGGGATTCTTGCGCAGGGTTGGTCAGGTCAGAGTTCTGTATGCCACGAAGAGCCTTCTGGAGACCAAGTATAGTCCCAAATAGTCCCAAATTGAGAACCAAGAGAGGTGGGTCAGAACCCTAGTTCGACTATCCCATGCATAGGTATCCCAGGTCCCAGGTGACGGGTAACCTCTCTTGGAAAGCCACCGAGATACCGGTCGTTGCGTCGTTGCATCCACTCAACCTCGTCGTTGCGTTATGCACACGTAGGACCATGTTCGGACCAAGAAGATATAGAATGAGAGTCGTCAGCAGTCCGCAGTCACCGTCGTCCGAGCAGACGTAGCGAGCCACTGACGCTCTGGCAAGCCACGCGGCGAGCTTCGAGCCGGTCGAAAGAGCAGGTTTGGGTCTCCCCAAAAGTCAAGGAGAGCTCAACAGGAAGTACGGTGGTTCTTGATCGTTCGGCCATCCGAACAATGAATGCTGGATGCCTGGATGCCATGCAAAACCTGACAGGAACAAAGAATAGACCAAGAGAGAATATACATTGCAAATGAGTAGGGCAACACCCTATATGCTAAGAGCATCTAATGAGAACTCCCTGTAACATGCAAAGCATCCCAAACTATCTTCTTTTTTTTGAAAGGGACTCCATTCCGAAGCTGGGGGCTATACCTTCATGATTCATTTGGGGCCTCGCAGTTGTTATAAAAAATTGCATGTTATGAAAGCAAAATGTACACGAGTGTAATCAATGAAGCGACTTGGACAATCAGTTCTGGAAGGTCCTTTCTCGGAGACGACCTGGTTTCTACAGTGAATTTAGAATCACAAGCTTCGACCCTTTCTGGACAATCGGATAATTTCTGGATTCCAACAGAGGTTGAAAGACCTGAACGTTCGGACCCATGGTCTGTGGTACATATGGGATGGGCGATAGGCTTCAGGGCTGGTCAACCAACCTCCCTTGGATTCGGTCCTTTCTGGTGCGTTTTCGGACCACTAGCGTCGACTGTCTCAGATTGTGGCGTCTTCCAAGAGAGGTAGGTAGCCAGTGACCGGGACCATTTGGATGTTCCCCGCGGAAATTCTCATAGGGCCTTTGAGAATCTCATAGGGCCAGAGGCAGGGTGTTCCTTTGGAAATCCAAAGACCAGCGGGACACTCTGTGCAGAATGATGTTGTATACGCTGCTTGTTGGCCTGGACCATCCAATCGGTGCCCATGCTGTCTGGACACCTCTAAGTAGTAGGCCTAGGGTGGTCCATTGGACATTCATTGGATGGTCCTGGTATATACAGACCTTATGTGTTTTTTCTCTCGCTCTTTTCTTCAACCAAAGCTCAGGTGATCATCACCCCAACGAAAGCCTCAGGCGGGCCGAACGCCGCAAGCGGGTCACTCTCCGGTGTCTTTCTGATTTCGGTCAGTGCAGTAAACTATCCTCAAGTCTAGCCGCTTATCTATCGCCTCCCACCCCACCGGGGTGACTCTCCTGTTTCTGTTCTTCTTTTACCAAGAGAGGTTCAGACACCCGAAAAAGGACCCGGAAGTCACCTGGGGTATCCCGATCCGCCTGGGATAGTCGAAGGGCGTCGGGTCCTTCAACCCACCTACTGGTCATTTTGTGTATCGGATCTATTCCAACAGAGGTTGAAGGACCGGACCATAGGACCCGGAACACCTGGGGTATCCCATTCCGGGACTCTGGGATAGCCGAGTCGGGCGTCGGGTCCTTCTGACCCACCTCTCTGTTGGTTTGGTCTTCGTTTCCGGTGGATCGAAGCACCCCGACGCGGATATTGGGGTGGTTTTAGGGGTCAATGGTATGTAAATACTCCAGTTCGGAGTGTTTGGGTAGTACTGTTTGTTTCTATACGTAAACTTCCTTCCAATCCAGCTTCTCGGATTTCAAATCAGGTTCCCCGGCTGGCTCCAGCTGTACAACTCCGGGCTTCCTTTCAAGAGAACTTGAGTTGGAGGAGTTCGGCCCAGCTTTTCGGATTGTTCATCCCCAATCCCGTTTGGAGGCACTCCTCAGGCGACCGAGCCTCTGAAAGGCAGGAAGATGGGAAGAACGGGGGTGTCAGAGGATCTTGTTTCTTTTTTACTCCTTCGGGGTCGTCAGAGCTGCAAAATCAAACCATTCAAGAATGTTAACATGTGTTGATCGTTCGTGAAGATGGGGGAACGTTCGGAGGGCTTAGACCTGCAGAAGCTAGGGTGGCTCAAGTGCCACAGCAGAGTGGAAGATTCTTTTTTGGTTTTGATTGCCATCCTGTTCTTGGATCTTCTTTGTGCTGCTTTGGAGACGGATTCCTTTTTTTTGCAGCCATGTATGGTTCCCTACGGCTTCTTCACTGCTTCAGGTGGTGGGTTAGAACGCAGAACCGCACTTGCTCCGTACTTGGAGATTTCTCTAGGAAAAAAGGAGTCTCGTCTCATCGTGTCTCGTCGAGATTCAGCGAACAACATGCACTCCAGGAGCCCCAGCAAGTCCAAAGAAGCAACCAGTGGTGCTGTGATGTGCCGTGTTTTCGGTTGCTCCGGGAAGACCCCGAAGACCCCTGTGAAGGACACGGGGTCCCGTCTTCCAGAAGACCTTCTGATTCGCCAACGACGACGGCTGAAGGACACGGCGTCGTGCACTGAAAATCCAGATGACACGCAACACGATACCTTGCCCGACATCAGTTCTTCTCAAAGAACAGGCCGCCAAGCCGAGCAACACATGAGCCCAACACGTTGAAAGTACGTGATTGTTGCCGACAGCAATCTGCTAGATTTGCTGCCCTTCCTGCCATGGAGTTACGTCCTTGCACGATTGGCAATGCATCAGAAGGGCCGGAAAGGCCGCCCAGGCCACAGCAGGAAGAGTCTATGGACTCGGAGTATGAGCTGAATTGCTTCGAGGACCCTTGTCTCGACAAGGGAGGGTTTGGGTGTTTTTGGGGTGGTTTGCGAGGAAAGGTCCATGTCAAAATGGCATGGTATACACATTGATACACATTGTATAACCCAGACATGACACATGGGACTGCCATATATGCGGCCCCATTGACCCCCGGGGCCCCCCCAAACCACCCCGAGGTAGGCAGATATGGCATACATGGAGTGTCCGGGTAATATCATTGAATGACTCGTTCTAATCACTTCGATTTGAAACAACTTCAGACGTTGAAATTCCCAGACTACTGCGAGTCATCGCAGCGATGACGATGTCTCTCTCTCCATCTTCCTTCGGGTTCAAACGTCCGAGGCCTTCCGGCAGTACTGCGTCAACGCCAACATCGCGTTGGTGCGGCCAACGTTCCTGGAAGAGCTTTGCGCAGCTGGTGGGGTCTGGCCTCGGAGGCAGGAGGCGGAACAAATCCCAGGAGCGGCCACCAAGGTCACGATTTTTGCGTTCAATTTAGCTTAAGTTGAAAAAAGTACTATGCCAGCCTGCCCTATATTCTTCCGGCTTGGATCTAATGCATTTTCGACATGGATATGTCGTTGGTCCTCCGAAAGACCTCTTCCCATGCTTGGTGGCTAGATGACATATCTAGTATAGAGCATCTTGGTATATAGTATCATTTGATATCATTTGATATCATTTGGTTCCTTTTATCAAAGCTAGATTTGGATTAAAGTTTCTCCTTTGTAGAGGTCAATCCGCTGGCGGCGCCAGACTCGGTACCAGGAGCTTTGTACAAGCCTGGGCCCCATGACGAGTTCTCCTTCATCGGAATCTCCCACTGCTGGGAGTCTCGCGAGCATCCTGACCCTTTCGGGTACCAGCCGCTCGAACAATGTCGAGATTGTTTAGAATTCTTCCATTTGATGGTCAGTAGGTTGCCATGGACCGCCAGAAAGCTGCGAAAGGGAAGCATGTTTCCACCCGGAAAAGCTTCGAAATCCCTTCAAGTCGGACCAGTCCGAGGCTCAGTACGATCGTGGACGCATGGCACTACTGGAGAGAGGCCGAGCCCGAGAAGTACGAAGAAGGCAACATCTACTTCTTCATTGATTACATGAGCTTGCCACAGTTCAAAAGAAGTGCAGAAGAGCAGAAGTCCTTCCAAAGAGCAATGAAGCACATGCATCTCTTCTACGCCGCTTGGAGCGTCAACTTCACGTGTTTTTTGGACTTTTCTTGGATTCACCTCACTTTAGTCCTTCTTCAGTACTTGACCGAACTTGATCACCTGGTTCGGTCACCAACAGGCCTGTCCGTCCGGTCACTTATCGTCCTGGGGAAGACCTAGGGACCTCCGGCTGGGTCAGACGAGGTCCACGGCCGGTCCGGTGCCCTTTCGGGGCCTCGAGGCGAACAGTGGTGCCACGTTTTGCAAGAGCGTGTGGCGCTTGGGGAAGCTCACGCCTCCAAGCGTGAAGAGACGGCATCCCGGTGGCATCCCGGCTCCGAGCTGGGCCGGTAAGACGGGCAGGAGCTGTACCAAAGACGTCAGATGTTTGCTAGAAAAGAGACATGAAAAATCCCTTGTGGCAGTTCATTCTCATCTCCAAACTCTGAATCGACATCAATTCACAAACGTCCCCCCTAGCCTTGCAAGACCATTGAAAGAAGGTTGACCTTGTTTTGCAGTCTAAAAAACCCTAGTAAACTAAAAATAACATAGCTTAGTACCAGGACCTTCCAAGAGGTGTCTATAAATAGCCTCTTAAGAGGTTAAGGGGTGTCCAAAAACCACCTGTTGGAAGGTCCTGGTATAGATTGCCAAACACTCTTTTTCTCACTTGTCCTTCGGCTTCCCAAGGCAGATTTGTCAGGGGCGAACCATTCCGGTCTACATCGTGGCGGAAGGGAAGGTGGTCGAAGTCCCCCTCAAGCGCTTGAAACGCAGCGTTGACGGCAAGTGCGGCCCGTCTTGCGACGATCACTGTCGCAATTTGCACGCCAATGACATCGTGTATCTCGGCCGGGGCTGGTGTAGAGCGGAATACGAATGGGCCAAGCCCAACACGGTTGACATCTCGCGGCAAGGCGTGTGCCTGCGCCGCTGCTGTGCGCAGCATCACTCGTGGTTTTACCGGTTCTCGCTGCCCTGGACGCCTGAGGCGTTCCAAAGAAATGTCTCCACCAACACCTTGAAGTTCACACACCGCAGCGACATTAAGCCCGTGATTGAGCTGCAACGCAAAGTGTTCGATCAGAAAGTGGCCACCCTGGAGAAGTTCGAGTGCAATTGGCTTCCATGCCATGAAGTTGAGGACCTTTTGGAACTGCTGCCCCTCCTGGGCGCCGTGCAGGAATTCTGGCTCACCGAAGCTTACGTTCCACACTCGCAGCAGTTGCCGTTGGCGAATGCCTTGGCCAGACGCCCGGCTTTACAGAAGGTGCTCATCAACTCTGTCCGGTTGGAGCCCCCTGTGGTGCAAGTCCTCGCCGATGTGCCGCAGCTGCGCACCTTGCGGCTCTTCGCCTGCGGCCTGGGCGACGCCGGCGCCGGCGCGGTGGCGGCGGGTTTGACGCAGCACGCGGCGCTGCAGGAGGTGTGGCTGGAATGCAACGGCATTGGCGACCTCGGTGCGGAGGCCTTGGCCAAGGCCTTGGAAAGCAACCACGTCTTAGAGCTGCTGGACTTGCAGCTCAACCACATCCGATCCTCTGGTGCCATCGCTTTGGCGGAGGCCTTGCGGCTTCGCAACGAGGCCATGAGACGCTTGGTGATGCGATACAATCCGATGGATGCCCAGGGGGGTCCAAGCTCTGAGGCGAGCTGTTGCAGAGAAAGAGAGCCTGGACGTGGATCATGAAGGGCTGGAGAGAAATGCAGAGAGTTCCGGAGATTTGAAGAAATATCTTGTCTTTTTTTCTGCGGTTCGAATGGAGGAATCCCCTTCTCATGTTTATAATTTATCATGTATCGTTACAATTTTTCCGGGTGGCTGGGAACCTGAAACCATGCCAGGTTCCTATTGTGGATGGATGTTTTGTGTGCTTTTGCGAGTCTTCGTTTGGATCGTCGTCACCATCGCTCTGTGTCCCATGAAGTGCTTCGTATGGCGGCAGAGAGTGAGTGGCTGCATCGGCACGCGGCTGTGCAGCCACCGTGCTGAGGCCAGACATGAGGCAGTGAGTGACGATTCCAGTGTGGCAAGCATGGACTGACCCGTGCAGTGAGAGATTTGGTGTTGAAAGAAGGTCCGAGAGAAATCAGCTGAAGGAATTGCTTCATTCCGAAAGGCCTGATCTTGACAGGTGTGACGGAATATGTTGGTTAACGAACTCATGTTTACAGATCCTTTTTGGGTGGCCCATCTCCACCATGCATGCCATCCATACTTCTTTGAAGAACTATTCAACAAAAATAGCATTATTGGGATTGCAACAGATCTTCTATATGGAGGAGGAAGAACCTCCACCATCACACACGAATCCAGTCCTGGTGCCCTTGACACTCCCTCCGGCCAGAAGCCTAAGATGGGCCAAAATATGGATGGGGTTCTTCATCAAGAGTCCATCTACCAGGACCTGACTGATGTCGATCACCCATTGCAACCGTTTGAAACCTGTTTAGGTCGCCGACCACCACCTGTTAGGGAGATCTGTAGAGTCGGGTGCTGGCAGAGACCTCGTGGCCTTCCGGCCCCCAATGACCTCAGAGCAGACCTCAGAGCAGCCGTTCAGTCACGGGGGGACGGGTCCATCGCAGAGTTGGCCTAGGCTACGGGGGTGGTCGGTGCAGAGCCTTGCTTGGCCTAGGCTTAGTCTGAAAAAGGTTTAAAAGAAGGTCATCTTGTAAAGTTATCGTAAGACTAATACAATTGTATAATGGCCTATTGCTTGGCCAAGCTGCTTGGCCTAGGCTGGCTTAGTGTGAAGTCATCAGTATACAGCTGCGGGCCCGTTTTGAGTTGCTGGCTGCCTTTGCTGGCTGCCTATGCACAACCACGCCGGGACTCACTGGCCACGCGGAAGAATCATGATACAGTTTATGACCCATACACTCCTGACTGGTGCGACTCGTAGGGAATGAGGGTGGCTGGATCCAAAGGAATCTGTATTGGAAGATCATTCCCTCATTCCATAATTACTAAGCACCAGTCAGACTCCATGGGACTGCCAGCCAGGACTGCCACCCCAGACAGACTCCCAGTCAACCAACCATCCCTGGCTGTTTCGCCGTTCGATCGGGGCTGGCGGTCCCAGACGCGTCGGTCGCGTCTGGGTGATGGGCTCCAGTCGGAGGTGAGCGGCGGATCTGGGGGAGACCGGAGGGTCGCCGGAGGTGCCGATGATGAGGCGACTGGAAGCGATCGGATCGGGGAGGAGGTAGGGAGGTGGGAACCAGGTATGTAGGGCCTGGTTGCAAGGAAGATGCAAATCGGATCCATAGTCGCAAGGACTATGCAAGTCAGATATATACGTCATATTATAAGCTATATAAGTGATAATATACCTAGAAGTATTTCGCCGAGCCTTCCAAGACCATTCAATTAAAGGTTCACGTGTTGTAGTCTCAAAACGCTGCGTACACCCAGGGTTCGGTCTCCAAGGCCCGGACCCTGACAGTTCTTTTCCGCTGGGCTGAGAAATCCCCTCCGGGAGTTCCCCCAGGACCTGCAGAGACGTTCAAAAGCACCACGTCTCAAGACCACGATGACACTCCCTGGAAGACCACATGGGGGTGGAAGTGGAGAATGACCCCGAGTTCGGAAGACCATGAAATCCACGAACCAAACAGGAGGTGCACTTCCATGTTAGTTCTAGGGAGAGTATAGAGATAGACCAGCTGGATAAGTACCAGTCGATGTATGGTTTAGGTAGCAAGTGGCGACAGGATTCCATAGAACTCTTAGTGGTGTAGCATTTCGTGTAAAAATATGGGCGTGCGTATCGGTATGATCATTGTTCACCATACTCGCTAGGCTTGCCACATCATGGAGTTCCGGTGTCCAAAGTTTCACAACAGGGTCACATTTTGGTCGAAGGCGGTTTCCAACACGACGCCGAGCGTCAACAGAACCGGGCACAACCTAAGAGTGCCCGGGCAGGTCCACACAACTCCACCCAGCCACCTGCCACTGCGCCGGTGCCTGCGCTGCTGACCTGAATGGGGTGACTTTCAGCGAGCGTCGATGGATGGAAAGAGTCCGTTTTGGGGGGATTGATGCGAAGGTCTTTCTGGAGAACCACCAGGAGTGTGAAAGGCAATGGGATGGACACGGTGTCCATCGGATAGCGGGAGACTCAGACATAGGACGGACTCTCAAGGACTGAGTCGTAGGACATAGGACACAGACATAGGACTCTTTGATAATAGTTCTTAGGCCAGGCCTAGACATTCTTCAGAGCGTGAAGTTCACCCACTTCATCCGGGCAGACGTTGACTGGTCGTTCTCAACCCGGCGGAGCCTTGGAGAGCGGTCGCGAATGGGAGACCAGCGGCGGAACGAGTCAAAAACGATCAAGAGAATGGTATTCAGGGGACCTGAAAGGCACCTGAAAGGCAGCTTCCTGTACTTCAGGGGTCACTTCAGTCGGTCAAAACATCGTCAAACTGGACTCCTATAGGTTTGTTTGCTTCATCTGGGAGTGTGTTCAACCCACACAGCAACCTTATTCATTCACCTTTGGTTAACATCGATTGTCTACTTTTTTAGAGGAGCAGTCGAAGAGTTCAGGAGTTCTGGAAAGACCAGTTTCAACCGTTCTATGTTTTCAGATTGTTTTCTCTCCAAGTTCTTCATCATCAAGAAGAAACAACAAACACTGCAAACAAGACTCCCTGCGTCCAAGCGATGGGCGCGGGACATGTCCATGGCTGAGCGACACCTGTGCAGCTCAACGCTCTATGCGGAGGAGGGGTTGGAGAAGCATGTCAAACGGGGCACCAACAAGCTTGCTTGGCCGTGAGAAGTCGCCCAGGTCACATGAGAAGAACTGGAAGCAAGATTGGATGAGGTCAGGTCTGCTTCACCCCCCAAAGACATCCGGTGTTTTGAATTCACTCACTCCATTGACAACCCTCAGCAACCTGTTTCTTTTGTCTGAAAAAGAAACACATAAAAACATCACAAAGCAATCAAAATGCCATACTATCTGGACGCATCGTCTCATCCAAAAACCACCCGCAGCTTCTCCTCCATGCTCTGGACTCGTCTTCCGAACCCGCGCGAACCGCGCGATTCCGCTGTAGCCACGCGCAACCGCGGTGGCCCGAACACGAGTCCCGTTTGCGCACAAAAAGCATCAGGACGTGCTTCGTGGTGGGCATTCCACGGTGTGGGGCTCCTACTTCGATGCAACAAGGCGCCGCGGGCGGGCGTTGAGGTGGTGGGGGTGGGGGGGAAAGGCCGGGCCTCAACTGTTTTGGTTTGGGGGGTGCCTCAGCAGCTCAAGGTGGTTCAGTAACAGCTGTGGTCAACGACTGACCTTGTTAAATAAAGACAAACAGCTGTGGTAAACAGCTTGGGGTTGTTCGTTGTTCGTCTTCCAAAAAGAAGATCCAGTTGTTTGTTCTTTGTTTGGTGGCAACTAGAGGTGGTCGAGTAACAGCTGTGGGTCCGATGGATCCTGGATTTGTGACCTTTGATGACCCTGACTGAGTTTCTTTCTTTTGAGTTGGGTTGGGCAAGAACAGCCTGGAAGTCCAATGACTATACTTTCCCTGAGTGAAGTAAAGAAAATCCTCTTTCAGATCCCATAATTCTTTGTATAGTCTTTGCCTCGCAAGAACAGTGTTCTCAGCTGAGGTGGGTGTTAGGCAACTAATCTGGAGAGGGGAATGGGCTTGGGTGGGTGGAAGGGCATGCAGTAGGGGCCGAACAGCGAAGGGGAGAAGAGGGGCAGTTCTGCAGTTCCATTGATGCAATGAATTGGCTTAAAGGAACATCCACAGGAAAACCCCTTGTTGTCACCCCAAAATCCAAGGCCAGTAGACTTTCCCTACAGCATTATGTTCTTCTGCTAGGGCCACGGAAAGGGTTATTCTTGGAAGGAAAACAGATAGCCGGTGTCTATACACCATCCAAGCTCCGTGGAGCTGGTGTTGATATGGATGATATGTGTTTTGTGAGCGGTTTATGGTGAAGACTAAGGGCTTTTCCTATAGATTCTGCGTGCCAAGTCACATCGTTTCGGCCGAAGCACATCTTGTGCGCACGGGAGGCCGAGGGTTGGACGAGCAACGTCCGATTCTTTGGCCACCCTTTTTCGGTGGCCAAGAAAGGACGTGTAAAGCATCTATCCTAGGATTCCTGGCCTACCATCCATGTACTATAGACATCTATAGACTATATCGAACGACCATCGTTTTACTAAGGATTGACACTGCAAAACCAGGTCAACCATGGTCTTAATTGTTTTGGAAGTCTAGGATAAAATGAGGTAAGCCTCGACTTGTACATGTTTTTGTTGGTGTTTAGGTGTTTTTTGTTGGTGTTTCTTCTTTCGAAAACTTCTGATGCAAGCCCGGGGTGTAGCATCATCTCCTCCGCTCCCCCAGTCGCCGTTGGGGCTATGCTTGCTGCCGCAGTCTGGACCGGAATGAGGCGCGGAACGCCCAGGGCGGAACTGCACGGCGCGATGGATGGACCACAGCAAGAAAACAGTGAGTGAGTTAAAACGGTTTAAAACTATGGGGCGTGTTTTACGATATATTCTTACCTTTGGGGCGATCTTTTCCGTATGGATGAATCCGTTTCTTGCAACAGAGGAGAATTATGTTGTCGTCGTCGTCGCTGTTGTTGTGGTTGTTGTTCTTTTTTCTGGTTCCTGGACAGTATATACCAGGATCTACCTCCACAAGGACAATTGCATTTGCTTGGACCATTGCGGTCATACTCGGTCCAAAAAAGAGACCTCCTGACCTGGGTCCCGACCCGGGTGTACGAACAGCTCGACTCTATTTGGGGGTCGATGCTTCTCAGAGAGATCGTGAGAATGAGTTCACCCTCGCCTAGAATGGACTCTCTCGGGATCAGATATGGTCAGATGAAGCCAGCTGGAAGTTTGGATGTCCAATTGTTTGGAGGAAGATGACCTGATTTCAGTGACTTCATGTGACTTCCTTTACTTCCGTGGTGTCAAAAGTTCGTTGAACTGGACTTGTTCGTCAAAAGCTCGTTTCGACATCGGGACACCAAGACAGAATCCCCCGAAGATCCATGAAGTACAGTACGTATGTTGTTTCCTTCTTTTGTTCACGTATCCTGGAGTAGGCAGAATATGAACTCAGCCAAAAAAGCGGATCCGTTTCCAATTTAATGGTGTGTTGTTATTTGTTTCCTCATATTCTAGCTGCGCTGTATAGATGTCTCCATTTGTTTTTTTCTCCATATTCTATCATATCTACACTCCATCTCTGTGACGATTCGGCATCCATGAACACGATGTCGAATCGACCGGACCGTGTGTATTTTCAGGCGTGTCCTCAAAATGAACCTCAGGCGGGGTGGGGGCAAGATGGGGCAAGGGTGACCCTGTTTAGACTTCAAAGGCCATATATCACCACTAAACAAGTGTTGTTATGAGCTTTAAAATCCATAAAACCATGTAAGAACCATGGTTGTTTGGGAAGAACAGCCTATGCAATGATGGGCCAGGAATTGTAGGGAGAAAGCCGTTGACCCGACATGACCAAAACAAGAATCCTTGTGAATTCTCCCTTTGGGGCACATTGGTGGACACCTCCGAACCCTTTGGAGCAATCATCCACATCCCAAACCACAGCAAATGCAACATGGTCCAAAAGCCTCCATTTTTTTGGTGGGATTCCTGACCCCACCATTGAATGAATCAGCTGAGTCTCAAAAAAGAAAGAACTGGTTTTTTACGAAGCACCCCGGCTCCTTTCCCGAACGACGACTGTGCCGGCTGGCTTGTACCGGCGCCGGCTGGCCGTCGGTACTCTCTCGACCGGTGGAAAATGCATGCGTCGGTACTCTCTGACGAAGTACCCTGTGGAAGGTGCGATGTCATGGTCAAAGAACTCCTTGATACTCCGTCATATAGGTAAAAAGAAAAAAACAGTTCGTTCCAACAACAAGCAGTTGTGTCATAGGGCTTATGTGGGGTCCATACCATGTCATCTGGGGTGCATCCTTTGGCATGCCTCTCACTTCACGGCTGGCGGTGGATCTGGAGAGCGAAGAGCGAATAGCTATGGAGGAGGATGAGGTGAAAAAACAGATCTATGTTTCCATCACCGAAGGAACTGCAAAAGATCATCAAGCTTAAACATATTTGAACATGATCATTAAAAGTAACATTCTGCACTACAGAAGGTGTTTTCCTCTTGTCTTTTTGAGCGGACTCCTAGATTCTTAGAGCAGACTTCTTTGGTTGTTGTTAAGCACAGACTGTACTAGACTCTCAGAGATTATCGGTAGCTGTCGGGGTGTCCAAGAATTCTCTAGCAAGGACACCCGGATGGTCAAGGAATCTGTTGATGTAACTCTAAGCCCTTGGATGTCCTATAGGTGCCCCATCCAGGATATCACCTAGGTTCTATTCTATAGGTTCGATCATCCTATATACCAGGGGCCCCACAAACCATCAAAAAGCATGGTTTTCTTCAGCAAACAAAACATGGTTTTGGTATGTGAAAACCATGAAAACCGCTATTGTCCATACCAAACAAAAACAGATCTGGGGGGGGCCCTGATCTGTTTGGTTTTGGGTATGATCTATTTTGGTTCGGGCCCCTGGTAGATCCACATAGAATCCATCAGCTGGCTGTCCATGTAGATCAGCTTTCACCCGAGCGAAGGCGGTGGACAAGGCGGAAAGCTCCGAGGAGGAGGTCGGGGCAGGTGATTGGAGCACGGGATTCCGGTCCCCGACCCTTTCTTCCCAGAAGTTGGGTCGGTGACCAGGAAAAGGGGAGACATGGAAACACCTCAGAATTCTCCAAGAGAGGCCGCCAGGTTTTCCGGGACCGGGGGGTATCCCGGTCCACGGAAGCAGTTCTCATGAGGTCGGGTCCTTCAACCTACCTCTCGGACGGGTCTAACCACCGAGGAACGCGACTCCTCTCGATGTGGGATACCGCGGGGCAACGCTGGGTTCTGGAATCATGCTGGTGACACCTATAGTAATTAAATGGTTATTATTTATCTCCAGTATGCTGGCTTTTTATACATGTTAATGGTTCTACTAGGGATTTTTAGACACCAGGACCATTAAGATGTTGGTCAATGGTTGGTTGCTGTTGGTGTGCAGTGACTGCAAGTGATTGCGTTGGTGGTCCGGGTGATTTTTGCCTTGGCCACTCGAATTGGAGGCATTTCTTTGTTTTGATATCTATTGTTGCTTCGGTCTTCTTTGTGTTTCGATCTTCTTAGGCGTGTGTGTATGTGTGTGGTGTTTCTCCACCTGCTCGGGGTTAAATGACTTTTCGGTCTCAATTGGTCTCCGCAACTGATGCAGGGGTTGGGTTTTGGAAGACACAAGGGTTTCTCGTTGCATGTGGGTGTGGTTGTTTTTTGATGTTTTTTTGTGAAGGCTTCATTCCCAGTGTTGTGTGTTTATAACTTTGACTGATGGTTTTGTGTATGCATGTTTTTACCTTATACAGACCTTGGTATGCTGCATGGCATGGCAAAACCTCAAGAGGAATCCTCCAACAGCGCTGGTTGCAATCCCGACATCTCTAGAACCAAGGGAGCAACTACACTCCCGACTCAGTACACCCATGGGTTCGGAAAGGGGAGAATTCAACTATGGTCCCTTCCAAGAGAGGTCGCCAGGTCTCCCGGGACCAGGTCGGACCCGGAAAACCTGGCATACCCACCCTGGCCTGGGGGATACAGTAGTCTATAGGGTCCTGACCCACCTCTGTTGCCCAGGGTCTTTTTTTCCCGCTTCCGCTTCCATGATCCACTTCCTGTTCAGACCTGTGACCATGATCCTTTGGTTGACAGATGTTCGTCCTCCCACTTCGCCCGTTCTCAGAGGTTCGTTCGGACTCTCTCACAGTCACTTGGAGTATAGATCTTGTTCTACAAATGTTGCAAACACCAGTTACCAGTTGGACCCAAAACGGGGAGAAACTATGCCAGTAGGACATGTATACCAGGGACCACGGAGTTTCTATACACCGAACTCCCTGGTGCTGGTCTTGGTACAGAATTATTTCGCTTATTGTTGACTCCCGGCAGTCTCGCTTCCAAAGACTTTCCTGCAAATACTCCTCTCCTCCAAACATGTCCCGCTAAGAGCTGGATGTCACTTTGGAATCTTCCATCTCCTTTCCATCCAAACTCTCCCTCCACAGGATGCTGCAGCACAGGCGCAGCTCATTGCCTGGCAGGCACAGTTCATGCCCAGTTCGGTCATGGAAATGAGCGGAAAAACAGCGTTTTGGTTGGGCCTGGAAAACTCCGTCTGAGTCGATGTTGGGCAACTGTGCTTCGTTGTCCAAACCAACAGAGGTGGGTCAGGACCCGAATGAATTCGACGATCCCAGGCGGACCGGGATATTTCAGGTTTTTCCGGGTCCGATTGACGGTCACTGGCGACCTCTCTTGGAACAATGCGAGATTTTGCATCGAAAGGTCCCCTGAAGAGTTCGGGATCAGCTCTTAAACCATTATGGACGCACTTGAACATCCAGGCACAGGTCCAACAACTGTGAATGAGACCAACCAGGACCCCCCTGTCGGGGTGTCTATTTATAGCCCCTTAGCAGCTAAAGGGGTGTTCATTAACCACCCCCTTGCGGGTACTGGAATTAAATACCTTCTGACACACTTGAATGCAGCAATCACAAAGGGTGAACCATGGTGACGCGTTTTTGGTGAAGTGCAGTGGCGAATTCAGATGTGATACATCATTAGGCCGGGCATGTCCGTCCGACCTCCATAGATCCTGGATCTGTGTCGGTGATCCGTTTCGGCCGGTTTCACCTATACAACAGCAGCCAAGGTTGATAGACATTTGACCGACCTTTTGGGGTGTAAAAAGAACCTGGAGGTTTCCAGTTCTTGCAATATATGGCAACTGTTCGATCCTTCCATAGGAAGTGGCTGGGACTGGTGGGGAAATCGGTGCTCCATCTCCAGACTTCTTTCTTTTCTGCTTGCCAACAGAGGTGGGTCAGGACCCGACTTACTTCGACGATGCCAGGCGGACCGAGATACCTGCAGGGTTTTTTTCCGGGTCCGATTGACGTCTCTTAGGCTTCCAAGGTCCCCACCATTCTGGCTGAGTGTTCCATTGGCCCATGGTCTCTCGAACCTCCCACAGTGCCCCCCTCGCTTGGTTGGGACTGGGTTTCGGCCACCAGAGCCATTGGAGCGCTAGGACGGACAGCTGCTGGATGCGCGACACACGCCAGAGCAGCCGCCGGTGCTCGGGCGACAGACGCCAGAGGCGGGGGGAGGGGAGGCATAGGGCACCGAGGGGGGAGAACAGATCTGATTCTAAGGCGTGCAGGGGGGCAATGAGCAGGATGTTTTGGGAATGCCCATTGCGGGGAGGACGAAGTATCAGACGCCTCTTGCGAAGACGTCCAGGGACCCCTGCCGAACCCGGCAGGTCGAATGTCCAGGGAACGAAGTGATCGGCGGGGGTAGAACCATTGGGTCCTAATACCCGGTAACAGGACCCGTAAACAGTGATGACCTATTTTGGAACTGTCGGCCTGCAACCTAACCATCATCATCCACTGTTACAGGTATTAGGATAGATTCAAGGTAGAAGTTTATCACGGAGGAAGAGGTCCTTAGTAGTCCAGTGGTGGGGAGGGTCTCAGTTGTCCATCCTCCCCGGTTCTCTCTCCGACGCGCGACGCGCACATGTGTGGAATTGCAACGACGGCCTGTGAACCGGTTCATATGAGCCATGGTCAATATAGGGATTATCAAACATGACTATAGGGGATGGTCGCCGACTTCGACGGTTGCTTCGAGATCTTCCAGACCTCGGTATCATGAATCTTCACTAGGACAGGGGTGTCGAAAGGAACACATCCTGCCTCCGATGATCAAGGCAAGAATATCAGGTCTCCTTCAAAAAGATCATGTACTTGCCCCAGAGGTTCTTGTATGACTCGGCATGCACCTGTGTTCTTTTTCACACTGATTGCTACCTCCCTGGCGAATGGCCACTCTGGCGCGCGCTTCACGCTTCATCAGGACTTCCTCGCTCACTTCGTGCTGTGCCCTCGCGTCGTCGGCGCGTCGCGGAAGCGCCTGCACGGCGTGGCAGGCTGGATGGAGCGGTCGACGTTGGAAGAAATGGCGCAGCGACCGGCGAACTCACATGTTCTCAACCCCCAGGCGGCCGTCCGTGAACAAATTGGTTTGATCGGACTGTTGTTTTTTTGTACCAGGTCTTTTTTGATCTGTTTCCGGGGTAGAGGGTGTCAAATAGTACCGTTTGCTTTTTTATCCCTGGAAGTCCAGGTCGACCATGTTTAAATGGTTGATCTGGTGACCTGTAGTGTAAAACCCTTCGTGAAACAGCTCGGTTGTTCAGGTTTCAGGCTATTAAAACAATGGTGGGCCACGACTTCTAGGGATATAGTAGCCGCTAGTCGTTTTACTTGGACAGGTTCCAACAAATAATGGTGTCTTGCTGGGTGGGCTTTGAACACTGAATCTTTCAGGCCTTTTGTTGTCTTTGGCCGAGTGGATTGGAATTGATCAGTCCTTCAATGTGCTAAAGATTGAAGATTCGCCAGGTTTGGACACATCTACCCCTAGCCTTCAGTTCGACCATTAAAAGAACGGTTGAGCTGGTGGTGTAGTGTAAAAATCCTTAGTAAAACAATGGTTCTTGGTGGGTAAAGACCAGTAAAACAATGGTTGTTTGAATCCTAGGGTCTACTGTTCGATCTGGTTGGGGTGTTGCTCCAAGTCATGTGCCCCCCCCGAAAGTCATCTGTTCGCTCCTTGTCCTGACCTCATTCCACACCCAAGGAACTAGCTGAAATACCTCTTGTTTCAAGACAATCATGCAGCTGCTTGTTGATATGTCCTTTTTGCTTCCGCTTGTGCTTCTCATCGTCATTCCCAATCGTGACCGTTGATTCATATTCCATTACATGCAGATGTTTCACCATCCTCCAGTCATGAGTTTCCAGGGACTGCCATGAATCAAGAATCATCTCTGCAGTGGAAGTGAAAATAATCCATCCCAATCCCAAGGCAAAGCCTTAAGAGTCAATTCCAATTCCAAGTCAAGTCAGTCATCCCTACTTTTTCTCCATCCTTTTTTGTACCCACAGGTACTGGTTTCATCATTGGACCGAGCACGAGAACCCTCCCAAGGCGCGGCCGTTCGTTGAAAGCGGCCGTGACTGTGCCCGTGCGTGATTGCGTGGTGGTTTAGCATGACGGTGCTTCGTTGGAGCTCCTCCAAAGCTTGTAGGCCTGCGGCGCAGGATTGAATGGAGCCCCCACTCCCAAAGTCACATAATGATTGCAATGGCTTGGCAGAAACAACCAACGGACGCCCACAAATGTCCGACACTGGTGGCAGTCCTGGTGTCGGTTTGGTGACTTGACTAGCGACCTATACCTCACTCTGAAGGCAGTTTGAAGGAGGACCCCTCTTGTGAAATGGTGAGGTTCGTTGCAGGACATGTTTCGAAGAGCAAAGCAGACAGGACGGGGATCGGTTTCACGGTCGGTCTTCCGGGTTTCCTCTTTCGTCACGCTTCGGCCACTGGAAAGACCTCGTTTGGTGATACCGAGCAGAAGGCAACAGAATTCCTTATTGTGCGTCTCCAAAGAGGTCCAAACACTAATATGCACAGTTGAATCCCAAACTTCAGTCTCGTGACTAAGTCTCCATCAGCATCATCTCATATGACATCCCGGCTTTTGGTATCATGGTTCTTGATCAAAACGAGCTGGCAAGACGAGATCGCGTCTTGCGAGTTCTTGGACCCCAACCGCTTGGCCGCTCCGTCGAACGCCGCTCGAGCGGCGCAGACCACGCAGCGTCAGGCGCAGCGGCAGACGACGCACGAGGCGCTGCTCCAGCTGATGCAGCGCTTGAAACGGAAGGCGGATCCGTCGAAAATCCGCCAGAGTGGAGAAATGATAAATGATAGATCCCAGACACGACTAGTGGGACTGCCATAGATGCCGAATTTCATTGATCCCCAGTCAACCACCCCTGGCCGTTTCTCGGCAGTCCTGGCTGGCAGTCCCATGTGTCGTGTTTGGGGATCATCATGAGCAATGCCCGGTTCTCAGGCCAAGTCCACTGCTAGCTATAGCAACATATTGATACATATTGTGATTTACAGCAATATATAGCAAGAGCAACATATAGTCCACTATTAAATATACAGCAACTATTGTAATTGTGATCTATTGTGACTATGATGATTATTTTGATGATTGATAATCTTTCCAAGCCACAGAGAGCTTTGATCGCACCGTCACATTTGCCTGGCCCGGAGTCCAAAGACCACACATGACACATGACCTCCCTCCGAGTACATCAGCACTGAAGAACCTCCACTCCGCAGTTGGGGCAGGCTTTGGATCGCAGCTTGCTCCAGCACCTGACGCAGTACGCCGACCTGGCGCAGCGCCGGGAATACGCGCAGGCGGGGCACGGGAACTGGTGTGCCCGTTTTGCACTGCGCGGAGCTACCAGGAGGTGGGGAGAAGTTGAGGTGCAGTGAGGATTTGCCCTAGGGATTAAAGATGATTTAAGTACCTTCGCAGGGTGTCTTCTCAGAAGGTACTTGGACCTTGCCAAACCTACAATCAAAGTCATTCAAAGTCTCTCCTTGCTCATCACCTTCTCAGAGGGTATGTGGATCCCTATAGGGTTGGTATAGTTCTCGTAATCTTTGAACACTTGGGGTTCGATCATGTTTGGACACAGACCGGTGAAATTGGATGAACATTTGAGTGGGACACCTGACCCTTCTGTCCCAACCTACAGGGTCCAGGGTCCAGGATGTTGTTGGGACAGAGCCTGCACCAGGTTTAATCGGACAACTGCATTGAGTATGTCTTTTTGTCCAGGCCAACTCCAGAAAAATGAGGTGCAACTCACCTGTAGGGGAGGATCCTCCGTCTCATTTGCCCTTGCTTCCGGCCTTGCCATTTCCGGGGATGGAGTGGGGGTGCGTTGAACATCGTGGCCAGGCCGACGATGTTTATGTGGACATCACCATCGGCAAAGCGTCCGGGCCACTAAGGGGGACTCGGAACACTTCGCGGAGAGGAAGAGTAACCCCCAAGGCGTTCTTGCCCTAGACGACCAAGACGTCCAGTTAGATGAGAATTATAGCTAGTGTTTAAAGGTAAAGGACAAAGAGCAAATCCTTTTCAGGTCCCCAAACCGTCAGAACAGAGGTTTTTTTCTTTTTTACATAAGTAGTCTTTCACTCTCAGGGGCCAGAGTCACTGGCATCTCCGAGTCATCTCCAGCCCTTTCTGAAACAAGCCATATGTTCTCTTCGTCCTGACCCAGCGGGCCAGGCTGGTTACCGATGTGACTTTTCAAAGAAAAAACACCAACCAAACTCAACAAAAAACCATGAGTCCAGGCTGGTCAAGGTTTGTGACTTTTCTGAGATTAAAACACATGAAACCCAACCAAAAAAAGAGACAATGAAAGGGGATCACATCGCGAAGAAGCAAACCGGACGATAACGTGGGAACCCGGACCTGTCGGCCCATGTGGCCATGAGATGTTTGCTTCTTCTAGCCTTTAAGGGGCGAACTAGGCTATCTAACAAAGATGATCAAAAGCTCTAACATGTTGTTCTACTCATTTCTACTCTGTCCAGTTTTTCTGATTGTGGGGATGCCAATGTTTTTTTTTCAATGGAGAAGAGAGGATAGTCGTTGTCCTTTACGGTTGAGTTCACATTGCGTCCAAACACCTGTTGCACAGCTTCATCCTAACTCAAAATTCATCCACTCGGGATGTCCTCTCTACACATGTCTATCCATCTTTGATCTTCAGACCCCAACAGCGGCTAGCTGCTCTTGCGGGTCACCTCTCCCAGTGCCCTTGGGGCGACCCGGGGCGCCGGCTCCACGAGGACTTGGCATTCCCCCCTTGGACTTGGGAGAACAACGAGCGCATTGGGGACAAGGATGTAGTCTCAGGAGCGGGACGGCGTGGTGGCTTTTTGTTGGACAGTTCACAGGAAGTCATACCTGTGGTCATGCATCTAGAATTATACTATAAAAATATATATATATATATGTAAGCCATGTATAATATGATGTGATATAATTATGCAAGCCATTTATAGACATACAGAGGCATTGTGTGTCCAAATGATTCTTCATTTGTCTCTACCGATGGTTATGTCGTAAACGTTGGGGACACAGGTGTTATACCGCCTTGTCACACTTCAGGCTGCCTGGTCTTATACAGGCTCCGGAGCCACCGGTCTTCTCATCGGTATGCTTCCGGTCAAGCATCTCGTACCACACGAAGCATCACGAAGCTCACCGACACACGCCTCACCAACCAAGGGATCTCCAACCCCAAAGAGTTTCTAAGTTGGGCTATGCTTTTTAAGCACCCGAAGAAGAAGAAGAAGAAGAAGAAGAAGAAGAAGAAGAAGGTGTGTTTGTTCCTCAGTTTTTACGCCTGCAAGGGACAATCCCCCACCTGGAACTGGGAAGAAGTGCCTGGTCGCAGCTGGTGGTGGTGGTGGGCAGCGGAAAATCCGTTTCGACCAGCCATTCGGCGCTCAGGACCATGCAAAGACAGGTCGTGGAGAAGGACGTGAAGTGCCTTGGGCTGTGTGGCGTGACTATGTGATTAGTCCCTGGCCTTCAATGACAACCCAAAAAAATGGTACAGACCTGGTGACTGTCAAAGCTTTGTAGTGTAAAGTCCTTACTAAAATGCGAAACCAATGGTTGGTTGGTAAAGGCTATGAAATCAATGGTGGGTTCTGGGTTCGGAATCCTAGGGTAGCGAATGCTGAAGTGGCCGCGGAGAGATCTGCGGCAGGGATAGTGAATGGTGGACGCGGAGGAAGGTTCCCCAGCAATACTATACTATACATGCTTAGCTCACAAAGAAGACGTGGATGAATTGGCTTGACATGAAGGAATGGTTGAAACATTTCAAAGCGGGTATTTGCCAGAGTTTGTAAAACCTGATCGCAACATCCTTTTCATAGTTGGTCAAGGTCCCTATTGACGATCCTTACCCGCCACACCCCAGTGATTTTTGAACCTCCCCAAAAGCAACAGGAGTTGACCTCAGCTTTTCTAACAAAGCAAGTTGCAAGCCGATCCCCTAGTAGTGAGGAAGGTATAGACAACCAGCAATAGCAATCGTTTGCACAGCTTACCACCGGCAAAGCGTTGCATGTGTTGGTGTTTTCTGGTATATAGCCACTGTTGGGGGCGGTGTTTTCCATGTTTCGACTGGAACTTCCTCCATTCCACTTGCCTTTTGCCTTGCTTCGGTCAGACGCTCTGAAGCCATCCATGTGGGGCAAACACTTCAAGCATCCTGGTCCAAACACAGCTCCACGAGTCCAGGAATTCACCGAGTCCGGACCTCCGCAAAGACTTCACCTGGACCCACTGGAGTTGGGTGGCTTCATGGACACCCCGAATCACCTCAAGGCTGGGGCTATCAATAGCCCCTGGTCCGTGGGTCCTGGTGGCGTGTGTTTCGATTTCACCGGTTGGACCGATCGGCGACAGACACATAGGACACAGTAGGATGTCCTGGCCGCTGAATTCTGATTCCTAGAGCATCCTTAGTAGGGTCTGAGTTGAATTCAACAGATAGAGAGGGTAGTGAACCGGGACACCCAGTCCTGGGTGTCCTACAATGCGCCGAAATCTTCTAGAATAAAGACAGATGAAATCTGAATCAGGAATCCTTCTTCTTTGGAACAAATCCTAGGCAACCTGTTGATAACAACTTGTTGATAACAACTTGTTGATAACAACCTGTTGATAACAACTTGTTGATAACAACTTGTTGACAACACATAGTCAGAACGTCGCCCTGGGTAGGATGGTCCTGGTCTGTCCAGCGTTGCTTCCTTCCTTCCTTCGCTTCTTCAGCGTCCAAGGAACGCGAGCGCCTTCGACACGGACCCTTTGGTGCGGAGCTTCGTCCATGCGCTCAAGAGGCGCCGTGACCACCGGAGGTTTGGGTGGTTTGGGTGGTCGGGTGCGCAGTGAAGCCTGGAAGGTCCAGCCGTGAAGTTCGTGACCCCCAAAAAGCGTGTGTATATATTATACAATATATTATATACATAGCCTTGCAGCTTCTTCAAAGTGGGCTCCTTTGTTTGGATGTCACAGGTCCCATTTTCCGTATATACTTTGGAGATCTTGGGAGGGTTCAGGATGGGTTTCCGTGAGGCAAAGGAGATGCGACGCAGGGACGTGTTTTTCGAGGGTTGGGAACTCCAATTCCGGCAAGGCGTTTTTCCTCATGGCAAGGCTTGGGAAAGGAAAGGAATCAGGAAGGTCCGGACTTTTGCATGAGGTACAAAACATTTTGTTCGTTTGTTTTGGCACAAGGATCTTCATTGTACTGACATTAAGGGACGATGTAGGGTCTTCCTGTGGGGTCTTCCTGTAGGGTTTTCCTGTAAGCTTTGTTGTTTCTTGGGGGGGTTCGGAATGAAAGCACCTGCACAAACCAACCGACAGGTGGCCCTGAACGAGATCGGATCCGGTGTTTTCCTCGCAAGCCGGGCAGGATGGTGACCTACATGCAGACCGTTTGGGACACTCAGAGCTTTGCCAGTTGGAGCTGTGACAGTCTGGGCAGGTTGGGCAATTCAGAACTGTTTGTATCATGGATTCTACGATGATTCTACAGACTCTTTGGTGTCGACAATCATGCCAAGAGAGGTAGCCAGTGACCGTAAATAGGACCTGGAAAACCTGGGGTACCCAACTGGGATAGGTGAACTAGGGTCCTGACCCACCTCTGTTGGTGTGTAAGTCTTATGTGTGATGGAACAGTCTGACAGCTATATGTAGCTGTCTATTTTCTATATGTATCTATATGACATGGACAATGTGTTGTTCTTTTCCCTTGTCTATTTCTGCGGCAGAGGGATGTGTCCCCCAAAAAAGAGACTTTGGGAAGGTCTGGATCTTCCAACAGTGATCAATGTTTGCCTCTTCATCCATCAAAAGTCATAAGCAAAAAACACAGTTAGGCAGACATTTGGCAGAAATTTGGGATCAGGTCAGGATCTGTCTATCCACCACCCACATAGATAGCGTGTCCTTTTTTGGGGGGGTGGACTTGATGGGAGCAAGGCCAGTGTTTCAGGTCTATTCCCAGGCTGCCCCAGTCGAGTTGAAGAAGTCTCAATGGAGTTCGACACCGACGTAGGACTTTGCGGTAAGTAACTACTCTCCCTGGAACTCACATGGAAGATCATGGAAGTTCACCCCCTTCTTTGTTTGTTTTTTTGGGGCCATAAAAACCATCCACGTCACCATAAAGAGTTCCAGGGAGTCTAGACCCTACAGGTCAGTTGGACCTCATTGTACTGGAGTTGATCACAACTTTTGATGGATGAAATCGCAGAGCAGAATGCCCAAGCTGGAAGATCCAGTGTATGATCCAGTGTATGACCGCTTCTGCTTATGACCGCTTCCGGGCATCGTCTCAAACGCCACCGCAGGTGCAACCAAGTTGGGGAGCTCAGAGAGCCGGACGGTGGGAGCCTTGTTCCCGAAGAAGACAGCGCTGTGTCTTCAGCGCTGAAGACAGCGGTGGCAGCGGTGGCAGTAGCGGTCGATATTGGGATTCTTTGAAGTCATTAGGGGTCTCAAAGATGTTTCAGCGCGTGTGTTGGCATTCGTCCGTCTGGGGCGATTAAAACATGACATGACATCTATACCTGAAACCTTGATCATGACTTCTGTTTTGATAGGAAAAGGCAATGTTTAAGGGCTCCAAAACAGGGGTCAATCAGGTTCTAGATGGTTCTAGGTATAGTATATAAAACATGTATATAAAATGTATATATCTTCGGTAGGCAAACATTGTTCCATGAGGTCGGATTCCTCCAGCGAATTTTGCTCATCCCAGACACGACTAATGGGACTGCCATATATGCCTACATTGACCCCCCAAAATCACCCAAACTGATCGGCATATACTGGGGACCCCAGTATGGCAGTCCCATGGGGTGTTTGGGCACGATTCATTCAGTGATACGTTGCTTGCTGATTGATGTCCTTCGAGCTAGGCTAGGCCAAGCGTCATCGGTTCGTGATCTTCGTCGCACTATATGCCTAGGTTGGGGTGGTTTCCAGGATCCAATAGGCATAATCAGCATACAGTATAAGGCATACATTGCAATATATTGCATACATGGAGTGTCTGGGTAGTGGTGATATACTTTGAAGATGCTCTCATCACCCACACAGCCTGAGCTCACGAACTGATGAAAGGCTGGTGGACCAGACTGACGTGGCTCCAGTAGTTGCTGACCAAACACGTCACACCCGACTGAAATCATTCCGGTTTTGACCCCAGCCTTCCATTTGACTGTGTTTAACGTTCCACGCTTCACGCTTCGGGTTCTGGGGAATCCTGCGCAGCGCAAAGCGCTTCGCGGTTCTTCGCGGTTCGAATGCCTGAAAGGGCATGGCGGTTTGGAACTTGATCCCTTGTTTGGGGGGGGCGGAACTATACATGGAATCGGTGTCAATGAAGTGAACACATATGAAAATTTGATCCATGCGGGATCCAGTCGTGCCTTCTAAGGTCAGGTACGACTGGACCTTCCAAACCTCTACATGTCACAGTGTCTCCAATTCACCTTTCAGCTCTCAGGGTATATGGATCTCTGTATAGGGTTTTGGGGGGGGGTCAATCCCCGTGCATGTTTTGGTGTGTTTCTTGGGGTTAAACATCTGTGGAGCATCGCTGTTGAATGATTTGACACCTGGCCGCTGCGTCACCGTAGCAACACTCCGCTGGTCGCTGGGTATGGTTCAAAACATGATCGTAGCGATGGACCCACAAAAAAGGGGGTCCTAGTTAGGGGTGGAAATTTCTTCTGGGAAACATGGGGCCCATCCACTAAAACCAATAGACTCATCTATCATTGAATCCATCCCGGGGGAGTGTGACCTTCTTTGGAGCCATATGGGATACAGCTGACTGCCCAGCCACGCGGTCCCAGAGCTAAGGCGCGGACCCCTCGAAGCAGGGCCACGTGCCAGCGCCCAAAGCCAAAGCAGATGAGGTGCGGATTGTGCCCGGCTTTCACCGGTGGAGGCGTTTGCACGAGAAGACTCCGTCTTCAGCGAGATTCGATTCAAAGGGGCACAGGCAACGAGAAGTGTTTTGACACTTACTGTAGTAGGACTCAGAAGTGTTTGACTTGTACACATTTGTTTGACTTGTGAAATCAGTGTTTGACTTGTACACATTTGTTTGACTTGTGAAATCAGTATAATTACTCAGAAGATCAGAGCGATGACCTGTAGACACCGACTCGACTCTATCGAAATCGACGTAGATCGGATTTTAAGTGATAAGTACACCCGCTCGAAGTGGTGGCCCACCATTGTTTTCAATAGCCTGAAACCCGAACAACCGAGATGTTTCACTAAGGGTTTTACACTACTACAGGTCACCAGATCAACTATTCTAAAAAATGGTCGACTGGACTTCCAGGGTACATACAATAAGTTTACTGAGTTTCCTGTATATAGATTGCAGTATATACAGTATACTGCACCAGGACCCTCCAGACGGGGTGTCTAAGAATAGCCCCACAAAGAGGTTAAGGAAGGTGTCCGGAATGTCAACAACTTACATGTTTCTTCTTTGTGCACAACATACAGATACATGTAATTACATGACCTGCTGCTCCAACATTTTTGTTTGTGGTTTGCACCTGTTTATCCATGTTTATCCAGTCAAGATGGTCACCACTATAGTATGTCCATGTCTATCCAGCACAGTTTACTTTAAAACACATATAGATACACAAAGAAGCTACGTATATAGGTGGAGGCCATCGCTATCAGGTTGGAGGCCATCGCTACTAGTAGCAAATATAGCGTTACGTATAGTAGCTTCGATTGTTACGCCCCGTTCGTAGCAAGGCCGCGCCAGCCTGGCGCGCCCCGTTGGTCGCATCCGAACGCTCCCAGCGAACGAGTGAACGCCGTGTCTTCCCGCTCCGGCGGCACGTCCCATCGCGGTCGCCCATGTCGTTTTTGTGCCAGGTCGGACTGCCCGTGAGGCCCGTCGTTGTCAGTGAACACCGGTGGTTTCACCGGTGGCCGAGATGCAGAGATACAGCTGGGCAGAGCGGCGGAGAGGTGGAGTTGCCAACAGGGGCCAACAGGGGGGAAGAAATTCCCTCCAAAAGAGATCAGCTGGGCAGGTGAGGTGAGTTTGGAGAGACTGCAAGTGGAAGAGATACAGAGATACAAGGGCAGAGAACACCCTCACTAAGAGAAGTGGATTGCATGGGTCTCCTGGAAGTGGATGGTTCTTCTTACAAGCAGGGTGTGCCATCCACTTCCATGTGATGTCATTGTCGGAATTGTAACTTATAATCGAAAGAGTTATAGAAATGGTATCGACAGAACCCTCTGCTCAATCATGCCCAGACACCACAAATGGGACTGCCATATATATGCCGATCAGTTGGGGTGGTGGTTCCAGGGGGGTCAATGTAGGCGTTTTTTTTTAAATAGAAATGGTGTCGACAGAAACCCCTTGGGGCCGCCCGGGGCGGCCCTTTGCTCTTTCTCTGATATGTTTGAGAAGGTCAAACAAGCACTTTCCACGAGACTTGGAGTGGCGCCAGTCCGGTCCAGTGCGCTGGTAGCTACCCGCGACCCAATCGCAACCGCTACTGGGAATGGAATGGACCTGTTGTCATTTTGGTGTAGACGTTGTATAGACGTTTTAGTGAGTTTCCTATTTTTTCCCATGATCCTCTTGCCTCTTCTTCCTCCCGGAGGGTTTGGTTGAACGCTTTAGATGCGGTGCGGGTGGGTGATTGGAATCGCCCAGCTCAGCAGATCCTCGACGGACCATGCGACATCCGTCATCAACCCATGCGACTGGTCCCATGTCGAAACAAACATATCTGTAGCAGGGGCCCTTTAGAAACCATCAAACACTAGCCCCCAAAAACATGGTTTTTGATGGTTTTTTGTATGTGATAACATATCCCTTTTTCATGGATTTGGTTCGGGCCCCTGGTAATTACACTCACTGAAATCATCAATGGTGACGTGGATGGCGTGGCCGCCAATCATGAAACCTTCATACCAAACAGCTGGTGCTTTCTTTCCACTGAAACCATGTTAGTCAAGAGTAGACTGATGGTAGAAGTTTTTCACTCCATGAAACCACTACACCCAGACACTCAGACACTCCTTGCATGGGATATTTATCTACATTGTGGGTGGTGCCAGAGGGGTCAGTGGGGTGGCATCTATGACAGACATGGAGTGTCTGGGACATCAGCTTCTCTTCCACCCCAACCCCCCTCCGTGGTCACTCTTTAGACTTCAGACACCACGCGTCTGCTGTCGCATCTATCGAGCTGCGCGCGCTCCGCGCGCTCCGCTCGCGGGAGGCCCAACATCCGCGACTCCGATGGCCGAGGGCATTCGCCGGAGTTCGTCGACGTGAACGACACCAGGCGCTGAGCGGATGGCGCGCGCGCGCGTAAGCGCGCGCCGAGAGTGGCTCATGTGTGGTGGGACGGTGCAATTGGGTTTATTTGGGTTTCAGGATCCGTTCTCAAAACTGTTGGTACCACTTATAATAGATGGGAGAGACCTGGTTTTGGAGTGTGCAATTCTTAGTAGTAAATTAGAATGATTGTTCAGTAACAGTAAAGTACTCACAAAGGCTTGAATGTTTGCAAGTTTCCATACGCTCCATGTATGCCATATATGCCTACATTAGGATGGTTTTGGGGGTGAATGTAGGCATAGATGGCATACATGGAGCGTTTGGGGTTGGAATTGTAGGGATCCCGAAGCCTGGTTTTTAACCAGCTCAGCGCCTTTGCCGAGATGACCAGGGTGACTGGGTCGGTCTCTTTGGTAAATGGCGAGGATCCCGCGTCCTTTGCTGCTCTCTCTCCTCACCTCAACAATTGCCAGCTCCAGATCGCAGTGAACAGCAAACGACAAATCCCAGTGACTTATATAGGCGCAATATTTCACCAGGCACGCCAGATCGCAGTAGGTACTCCTGGGCCCCAACAGCAAGCTCCGGCCCTCAGCAAGTGTAAGATCGGGCACATCCGGGCAGCAAGCGCAGATCGCACTACACTCTGCCGGACCTCAACTGACCACACTGATTGCTGAAAAAAGAGAACCCTGTGCCACATAAACCAGCCTCAGCCTCCAGAAGGGTAGGGATGAAACCATCAACCCACACCACACATCCGACACACATCCGACACACACGACTTCCGCGCAACTGAATGGGGTTGGGAGATTTGTTCCAATGGATATATCCAACACCACTTCTGCCCCACGCCACCTTTGCCCCACACCACTTCATGGTTTTCCTATGTTTTCCTCCTCTCTTCTTGCCAGTGCGCGGGACGCGCAACGGGGCATTGCCTTCGGCAGCCGCGAAGATGCGCGGAGTTTGCCCTTCGTGGGGATTGGCTTTGCGCGAGGGATTTGAGGCCAGGATGGGAGGGTGGGATGGTAGAAGAAACGCGTGCTTTAGTTGAGACCGTCACGATCATGTAGACTCTTGATCCATAAAATCTCTTCATTTGGAGGGTCCTCTTCATAGGGCGGCTTTAATCAAACATGTTCATTATGTGGACATGTCCAATTGCTTGACAGGAAGGCCCAACTTTGAAGGGTTGGTTGATGCTCTTCCAACTCTGGTTATGTTTGAGGTTGTTTCCAAAGGACTGCCATTGCACAGGTGTGAACAGAAGTCATCTGGGTGCTTTCAATGGGTTATATGCATTCTTTACTTTGTGAAGATCGAGCTTTCAGGTCCTCATTTTGTTCGTTGAACGCACCCACCAATTATGTGTTCATTGGTGTTTGTGAAGGAGGTTTGAGGGTGGGGATCTGGATGCATTGTGGCGTCTTACCACCTCGCCCATGCCGCAGAACTAGGTCGCAGAAAGCAGGGCCACCATCAAAGGAACCATGGCCCAGACCTAGCACTAACCTCTGACAGGTCGGTTCATTTTGGTGGTCCAAAATCAGGAATCAATATACACCCTGCAAGGCTGGACCTTGAAAACCACTGCTTGGTAGAGGAAAACACTCTTCCAGGAGGCCAGGACGGACCTGGGTCTATGTGAGTTGGACCGGGAAGTATATGTGTTTCTGCGCAGCTGCGGTAGGATGGTAGGATGGTTCAAGGCGGTTGGATGGTCAACTGTGGTAGAACGTGTTTGGTTGGATGGTTGGTCTACTTGTCAACATGTTACTTGTAACTGATGGTGGGTTTACTGGTCGAACAAAATATCTGAAGGATTTTTGTCAACCATATCTGAAGGATTTACCATCATGTTTGAGAACATGGTTTATGGTTTACCATGTCATCGAATTTACTTGTTTGAGATGTGTTCCTATACTTCTTTCCTGCAATCGTCCTTTCGCTGACCTCTATCCCAGGTGCTGCTGCCGTCGCAGCGCGAATCTGCTGCTGCGCATCCCGCTGGGCGCTGGCCGACCAAAAAAGCGTCGGCGCGAGCAGCAGACCGGCGGGGATCCACGTGGAATGGGCACTGCTCGGGTCGATTGGGATTGAACGCTGCTCGTCTCCCATCAGACGAGGCAATATGCAAATAGTGAGGCAATATGAACTGCGTGACCCAAAGAGTCAGCAAAGAGATGACAGGATATACATGGATATTCCAAATGGGATAACCCTGGAATAACAATACTACATTCTATCACTATGTGTTTTTTGTTTGTTTTTACTTACAATCAACACTCATGCAACTGTCGGACATATCAACAAGCAGGGGTCTATGGGATCAACTCCGGACGGTCTGCCGAAGGGGTTGGTCGGTCGGGACAAGGGACGAGTCAGGTCTGGTCTGCTTCTCGACGTCAGGTCTGGGTCCGGTCAAGTCTGGGTCTATGGGATCGTATTCAACACGCGGGATCGTCTCATGGGTGGATTTGGATTCATCTTCAGTCTGAGACGATGGCCCTAGGGATCCAGTCGTAGCTCCTTAGAAGGTGTTGGGGTATGTTTGGGGAGGGTGCCAGGAGGGTGCAGTCGTATCTTCTGAGGTTCGGTAGGACTGGAACCCAAACGGGGCCGAAATTTCGGTCAGAAGCTTTCGACCACAAGGTATACAGGTTTAAAAATGGTTTTGGAATGGATGGCACTGGCATCCCAAGATGACTTTTATAGATGAGGGTCCAAAAAAAAACACCGACATTGGGGTTTGTGCCATCTACTCTGAAACCAACAGTTGAGATCCATTCAAGATGGCATTCAGCAAGCAGGAGTGATGTATTCCTAGAGTTGCAGTGATCGGCGAGTGCCCCAAAGCACAAACGTTCAAAGCATTCCATTCTTGCCACCCATCCAATGCAAGTGCGTAACTTCATGTGATTCACAGCTCGAATTTGATGAACATCTTAACTTATCTTCACTTGGTCCTACAAAATCTTCAGCTCTCTTCCATCTCTCCAACAGGCGGCAGCCCGTTGGTGCCACTCTCCCTCCGTTCCTTCGCAGGACCAATCCTTCCGCGTGCGCAAGGCGGCGGCCGCCGGCTTCGCCGAGGCCGGAAGACCCGGGCCGGCGGACGGACGGGAGACGGCAGGCGAACCACGTCAAAGTGTGGCCAAAGCATGCAAAATCCAGCAGAGGTGGGTCAGAAGCCTAGTTCGACTATCCTAGTTGGGTACTCCTGGTTTTCCGGGTCCTATGGTCCCGGTCACTGGCTACCTCTGTAGGAAGGCTGGGTGGGAAACCCCGAGTTTTTGACGAACTGTTTAGCACAGTGTGACAGTGCGTATAAAGCCCGGGCTCAGACTCCGGGCCCACCATTCTGATTTCCAGAGCAACCGAACTGTTACCGATGTTGCACATGTCCTATCCAGGTCCAGCATTTTGGTTTAATATAGTCTTTTGAAGTCTTGGGTTGAAATCGGGCGACCATCCCTCTTCCCTTTTTGGTTGAACATAGTGGAAGTCTTGCCTTCACCAGCTTTGCTTCTCCCGAACGAACTCACCGCGCCTGTCACATCGGACCGTCGGACCTGGCTCACCCGCTCGACCGGTCGGAGCCGCTCGACCGGTCGATCCGGTCGGAGCGATGCAGATCGCGCGGATGCTGAGCCTGAGCGACGTGCAG